CACGCGTCTGCTAGCCACTGTTGTCACTGACCCGTCGTTTGAGTCTGCTGCTGCGTCTGCCTTTGTCGCTGAGCTGGTTGACTTTGCTGCTGCCTGTCGTCTGGACTACGCTGCTAGTCTTGTTGCTGAGTCTGAGTCTGTCTGTCCTCCGTCCGTCGGGGGTGAGTGTGCTCTTGGCACGGACGTCCTTGAGGACAGACAGGAGGACCTTGAGTGTCTTGCAGCCGCTGCGCCTCATCTCGTGGCCATGCTGCTTGCCCCTGAGGGAGACCCGGATGCACCAGACATCCCGACCCCGCGCTCTTACGCTGAGGCGATCGCGGGTGAGTACTCCTCTCAGTGGCAGACAGCCATGGACGCAGAGATGGCATCCTGGAAGTCCACAGGCACCTACGTCGACGAGGTTCCCCCTCCTGGGGCGAACATCGTCGACGGCATGTGGATTTTCAGGGTGAAGCGGCCGCCAGGTTCTCCGCCTGTCTTCAAGGCTCGTTACGTTGCTCGAGGCTTCAGTCAGCGGGAGGGAGTTGACTTCTTCCAGAATTTCTCCCCCACCCCGAAGATGACCACTCTTCGGGTGCTGCTGCACGTTGCCGCTCAGCGTGACTACGAGCTTCACTCGCTTGACTTCAGCACAGCTTTCTTACAGGGCAGCCTGCACGAGGAGATCTGGCTGCGCCGCCCACCTGGCTTCACTGGGTCGTTCCCTCCTGGTACCCAGTGGAGCCTGCGGCGGCCGGTCTATGGTCTCCGCCAGGCGCCACGTGAGTGGCACGACACACTGAGGACGACACTTGCGGCTCTTGGGTTTGCTCCTTCGACTGCTGACCCGTCGCTGTTTCTGCGCACCGACACTTCGCTGCCGCCATTTTACATCCTCATGTACGTCGACGACTTGGTCTTTGCCACTGCTGATACTGAGGCTCTCGCCCTGGTGAAGTCGGAGCTGCAGAAGAGACACACGTGCACAGACCTGGGTGAGCTGCGCAGTTACCTTGGCTTGCTGATCACCCGGGACAGAGCACGCCGCACCATCACACTGACTCAGTCACACATGGTGCAGCAGGTCCTTCAGCGCTTCGGCTTCACCTGGTCCTCGGCACAGGCCACTCCTCTGGCTACAGGTCATTCGCTCTGAGCTCCACCTTCGGACGAGTCCGTAGAGCCGAGTGGTCCTTACCCAGAGCTAGTTGGCTGCCTCATGTACCTGATGACCTGCACTCGTCCTGACCTCGCGTACCCTCTTGGCCTTCTGGCTCGCTACGTGGCTCCTGGTCGGCACCGAAAGGTGCACATGGATGCTGCTAAGAGGGTACTGCGCTACTTGTGCAGTACATCGGGCATGGGGCTCGTGCTTGGAGGACGGGGCGACGTTGTCCTCACTGGTCACTCGGACGCTTCTTAGGTTGACGACCAGGCTACACAGCGGTCGTCACAGGGTTACACCTTCAGTCTTGGCTCTGGCTCTGTTTCTTGGCGGTCTACGCGCTCGTCTTCTGTTCTTGGCTCCAGTTGTGAGGTTGAGATCTACGCCACAGCCATGGCTACACAGGAGTTACGCTGGCTCACCTACCTGCTGACCGACTTGGGAGAGAGGCCTCGTTCTCCTCCAGTTCTGTACGTCGACAACAAGGCAGCCATTGCCTTGTGTCAGGAGCACAGACTGGAGCACAGAACGAAGCACATCGCTCTACGTTACTTCCTGTCTCGAGAGTTGCAGCAGCGGGGTCAGCTTCGTCTTGCTCACGTGGCCACTCGGGCCAACACTGCTGATATATTCACCAAGGCACTTCCGTCTGGTGATCATCAGCGCTTTTGTACTTTGTTGGGCCTTGTGCCTACGTTTCCACACTTGCTGTAGACTCTGCTTGTACTATGATCTATATATATATACCTGCAGGCTTGCTCTTGCTAGGTAGAGATCACTGTACTGTTTTTGTTGCATATATACCTCTGCATGTGAACTGGCCTTGTGGCCTTTTTTGCTTGTGCTTAGTGTGTGTGGTGACGTTGTGATCCACCCTGAGCTTGCTTTGCTTTTCTTGACTGGTCTTGTGACCTCTTGCTCTCCCCCACTTTGCCTATGGGGGTGTGTCAAACATATATATGTGTTATAGTTTTGGGTAGGCTGTAGTGGGGTAGATACTGTGGGGTACAACCCCTTATGTTTCTTCCTTGTACCAAATCTCTCGATAGTGCAAGTCATTCATGCCTAAGTTTCTAAGATGAAGGAGAGAGTGTTGATATAACCGGGAATCGTAGTGGATAGGATAAGACTTGCTAAGTTGTGAGACTTGCACCATCGTGCGGTTACAACGGGTATCTAAGACGTGATTGAGTGCTAGCTAGTGGGGCGAAGGGGGATGTCTTGCCTGGATCGTGCAGGAAAGGCGTGTTGTTGTCGAGCGGAGGCGATGAAACTCGACAGGCGTGCGCTAGGCCCCTGCTGTAAGGTCGACAGGGGTGGCGGTACCTAGTAAGGCCGAGTTTAGACGGGCGAAATGCCTATTTGTTGCACCAGGCGCCGGTTTGGTCGAGTGTGGGTGGCAGATTGATCGAGGTTGGCGCGCGAATGATCTACCTCACGGCCGCGCCGTCGTTATCTAAACAGCCGCAAGTGGCGTATGTCCAACAGTATGCGAACGGTTAGGTCGCGCGAAATGCGGCATGGACAATTCCGCTGTCGAGATGAGTAGTAATTTGTATCTCAACCTGTACTCGAGCGGAGGGCGTGTTGCGTGACAGCGATGTTCTACTCAGGAACTGGTTTTGAGGTGCTTGTTACACAAATTGCACGTCACTGACCCAAATCTTCCTTGGGGTGCTTGGCGATACTGAGCGACGTTGTGAGGGTCGCTGCACTGTGTGTACACCTTCGTGATTTGCTGAGCAAAAATTCACTCACGCTCCTGGAGAGTTTTACTCGCTCGGGAGCCCACATATTGGTTTTTTTCCAACACACAGCTGTCCCACAAATTCAAGTGGCCCCAACTAGAAGGGGGGGGTCACTATTTTGCATGCGGGCTTTAATAATAGTTGAAAGAGAACAATATGATTTTAAGATAGGAGTACAATTATAATTTGGCGTTTCTAGTGAGCGATGGTAGAATAGAGAATGATGCTCAGCGATCCTGTTTACAGTCGCCCTGGAGTGGAATAAGTATCAAGTTTCTCCCCGACTGCTTTCAGGTTTCATGCGCTTGGTTCATGTGCGACTTTTCACGGTGAAGTCGATGTCGCCTGCGACAGTGGTTTAGCGGGGCAATGTTTTGACGATACGGGTTGGACGCGATTCGGCTTGTTTTGCTATCAATAGGGTTACACCCAAACAAACTTAGTGTAAGATTTTTGCCCATTCCTTACTGAGTCACGCTGTTATGCGTACGACTCCAACATTTTGGAATACCATGATCGGTCCGGTGACCTTGCCTCCGGAAGCTGACCCGCGTCGCCTTCTGGCTTGGCAGGCCCAGACTAGCACCCAACCTCATCTTCTGAGGTCCCCGCCTAGCTAGGTCCCTTCGTTGTTTGCTCACTTGTTGTGATCACATTTTCGTTATTGACTTCCAAGCATTCTTCTGTTTACAACTCATAACACTAAAGGATGAGCCAATTTGGGGGATGTCCCTACAAGAAAGGAGGTTAGAGCGTTCGTTGGGCTTCGCAAAGGTTTTCGCCAGTACGTATGAGTCGTTGGGACCTTCTGAAAAATTTTCTGTACAGTCGTTTCATTTCGCACATGCCAATCTGTTTCGCGAGAACTCAAAATTACAACCATGCTGCTGGGCTGGCTGGGCCAAAAGTTGACTTCCTCCAGTTGCGCCGGCGCACTTCCCCCTCGTGTGGCTTGTGTTGGGCACGAAGTATTCGATTTCGCCCAGGCAATTTAGCCCAACACAAATTTCGCCAATTTCGCCCAAAACCAGCCAATTGAATGTGGAATGCCTGTGGCGCCTGCCGAATCTGTCACAAGCCTACTTCGCGCGATTTTACCGCGCAATCCGCCTGGGCGCAAAAACCTTGACCACGAGCCGACTCTGGCTGGCTGCTTCCTTTCTCCTCCACGGGTCTCCATCCAACTCTCCAACCCCAGCAGCAGACTTCCAACCACTCTCATCTCCCACACCAATTCCATTTCACCCTCACTCTTGACTCCGAGATCCTGAATCCCGCCTGGCGTCCCGCACCCCTTCGCACCGCCATCGCTGAACCTTGGAAATGGTACTGTTCCTTGAGTCTCATGCATTCTGTTTTAGAAATTGCGGCATTGTAATTGAGAATGCTGCATTCCTATCGAATCAAACAAATTCTCCGCTTTTTTCCCTTTTGTGGACTTAGTGACACGTTGTTAGGATGGAGCGATAATCCCGCCGCGCAACTGGCGAAAAGAGCCGTTGGCGAGAGCTTCTCGATTTCGTTTTCTCAACGTCGCAAAGCCTTGCGAGAGGTTCTCGCCACGGGCCGCGTGATGCCGCATTGTGGCGTTGAGACGTTTCGACCTTCACGGCTCTCTTCTTCGTGGTTCCGCTGTCTAGTTTCACGAAACAGCAATGCTGAATTTCCTAGTTCTAGTCCGGTCCTGATTGATTTCAACTGTACGCTTGGTCTCTCAGAGACTAAGGCTTAGTCGGCGTCTCAGCCTCGGCCACTTAGTCGTCTGTAGCGCGGCCTAGAGGGGCCACAGAAGGTCCCGTGGGCGTCTCCAGTGGTACCCCGCAAGGCAACGCGTGGTCGTAGCATGTCTGATCGTCGTTGCGAAATGCATGGCAACAGCGTTATGATACTTCCTTCGCCATCTGGCCGCAGAGAAGCATGCCGCTCGGTCGTGCCAGGCTCTGCGGATGTTTCTTTATGGACCATTCTCGAGTGTTGCGAAAGTGAATGTGCGAAGCCGGCGGGCGTGACTGCGTGCAATGTGGGGTGCGAAAAGTGCATGTAGTGAACACACACAACTTTGCGCATTCGATTCGAACGGTGCAGGCTGATGACACGCTGAGGCCATGGAGCCGCAACGTTCGAATTGAATGTGCAAACTTGTGTGTGTTCATGCTTATTGCCCACCACCGCTCGCAACTCACTTTACCCCTCCTCCCGCCTCCCGCCTCATGTTTATTTCCCGCCTACCCCCTCCACCCCCCTCTCTCCCCCCCTTCCCCTGCACCCCCCTTTTCCCCAGCACCCCCTTTTTCCCCACCTTCCCCGTCCCCACCCCCGCACCCCACACACCTTCGTCACGCATGCTGCTCTCCCTCCTCTCATTGGCAGGAGGCCCTTTCTGACTTCTCCAGCTACCTGACACGTGGCGTGCAGCGACGGGCGGAGCTGCTGGTGGCGTACAAGGTGGAGCAGAAGCTGGACGCGTACATCCCCGATGGACTGGTAAGCCTCTGAACCGCGTCCTGAGTTGACTCATGTTGACTTTTGAGTCGAGTCAAAAGTCAACCTGGTGGCGTACAAGGTGGAGCAGAAGCTGGACGCATACATCCCCGACGGATTGGTAAGCCTCTGAACCGCGTCCTGAGTTGACTCATGTTGACTTCTGAGTCGAGTCAAAAGTCAACCTGGTGGCGTACAAGGTGGAGCAGAAGCTCGATGCGTACATCCCCGATGGACTCGTAAGCCCCCTCCCACGCACACCCTCTCACCCTCTCACCTTCCTTGACCTTCCTTAACCTTCCTTTACCTTCCTTCACCGTCCTGACCTTCACCTTTGAGACGTCTCAAAGGTGGAGCAGAAGCTGGACGCGTCCCCACGGATTCGTAAGCCCCCTCGCACCCTCGCACCCTCTCACCTTCCTTCACCTTCCTTTACCTTTTTCGACCTTCCTTGACTTTCTTTGACCTTCCTTGACTTTCTTCGACCTCCCTTGACTTTCTTCGATCTTCCTTGACTTTCGTCGACCTTCCTTTACCTTCTTCGACCTTCCTTTACCTTCTTCGACCTTCCTTGACTTTCGTCGACCTTCCTTTACCTTCTTCGACCTTCCTTTACCTTCTTCGACCTTCCTTTACCTTCTTCGACCTTCCTTGACCTTCGTTGACATTCCCTGACCTTCCTTGAGCTTATTGAACCTTTCTTGACCTTCGGCCTCCTCCTCCCTGCATCATCCCGACGGGGAAACACACACTCAATGCGAAGCTTGACAGGCTGTTCCCTGGCCCCTCGTGGCTCATCCCTGGCCCCTCGAAGATCCGTGAGCGTCTGTAGTGTCGCGCTTTGACCTTCTTTCACTCCCCACATCCTCCTCGCAATCCCGTGGGACACCCAACCCACCCTAACCCATCCCAAGCGGTGTTCACTCGGGCTTCATGCCCATCCACGGCGCTGTGGAGATGCCAATTGCCGTGTGCATGCGTGCAGGGGACCGCAGGGGAGCACAGGGAGGCACAGGGGGGCACAAGGGGGGCACAGGGGGGCACAAGGGGTCAAACGGGGGCAAAAGGGGGCAAAGGGGGGCACATGGGGTCAAACGGGGTTAAATTGGGGAAAAGGGGGGCGCAGGGGGTCAAAGGGGGGCAAAAAGGGGCAAAAGGGGACACAGGGGGCAAGAGGGGGTCAAAAGGGGGCAAAAGGGGGCAAAGGGGGGCACAGGGGGTTAAAAGGGGCAGAAGGGGGCAAAGGGGGACACAGGGGGGCAGAGGGGGTCAAAGGGGGGCAACAGGGGGCACAGGGGGTAAAAAAGGGGCAAAAATGGGCAGGGGGGGGGGCACAAGGGGCCGGAGGGGGTCAAAGGGGGGCAAAAGGGGTCAGAGGGGGGTACAGGGGGGCACATGGGGACACAGGGGGGCACAGGGGGGCACAGGGGGGGCACAAGGTGGCAAGCGGGGGCAAACGGGGACAAAGAGGAGCCACATTTTTTCCATCCCTCCCAGTTCTCGATCTCTTTCCTCAACTCCCTCTCCACCCGCCGCCACACACCTTACTTTCCCTCCATGCGCATCTTCATTCTCCCTCCAGTCATACACAGTAACACAGACGCCATGAAGATGCGCATCGCTCTCCACATTTAAGGGCTATGTCGCTCCCTACTTCCTCCTGTGTTCCCAATGCCAGTCCTATTTCCCATTCCCATTCCCATTCCTATTCCAACTCCCATTCCCATTCCTATTCCTACTCCCATTCCCATTCCCACTCCCATTCCCATTCCCACTCCCACTCCCATTCCCATTCCCATTCCCATTCCCCTTCGCCTTCCCCTTCCCATTCCCCTATCCCCCCTTCCCCTCTCCTCCCTCCATTCACCCTCCAGTCATACACAGACGCCATGAAGATGCGGATTGCTCTCTACATCACCAAGAGGCCCTGAGACGTCTCCAAAAAGGCTTCCTCTCTCTCATTGCCAATTCCTGCCACACACCCTTCCGCTTCCTCCCAGTCATACACAGACGCCATGAAGATGCGCATCACTCTCTACATCGCCAAGGGCTACGTCGCTCCCTATTTCCCCCTGTCTTCTCAATGCCAGTCACCTTTTCCTTCCCCTTCCCATTCCCCTCCCTTCCCCCGCTCCCTCCCCTTCCCTTCCAGTCATACACAGACGCCATGAAGATGCGGATCGCTCTCTACATCGCCAAGGGCTATGTGGCTCGTCCCCTTCCCCTTCCCATTTCCCTCCCCTTCCCGCCACCCTCCCTCCCATTCACCCTCCAGTCTTACACAGACGCCATGAAGATGCAGATCTCTCTCTACATCGCCAAGGGCTATGTCGCTCCATCCTGCCATTCCCCTACCCACCTCCCTTTCCCCCCTCCTCCCTCCCCCCCCTCTCTGCATTCACCCTCCCAGTCATACACGGACGCCATGAAGATGCAGATCTCTCTCGACATCGCCAAGGGCTATGTGGCGCCCTATTTCCCGCCAGAGGATCCCGAGGAGGAGGCTCAGGAGGCGGAGGAGGAGGCTCGGACGAAGCTCGAGGAGGAGAAGCGGAGGCAGCAGGAGGAGGGGCAGGAGAGCAGCGGGTTCTGGAGTCTCTTCTCATGGGATGATGGGGAGGAGGAGGAGGAGCAGGTGAAGGAAGAGAAGAAGGAGGCTGAGTCTTACCTCATGAGCTTTTTCACTGGGAAAGTGGTGCGTTGCGTTGGTGATGGGTTGGGCTGGGTTGGGATGGGATTGGGATGGGTTGGATTGGATGTAAGGTTGGATAGAAAGGGGTATGTTGGACAGGACGTGTGACTGGGCTGGTTTGGGCTGTATGGGTGGCGGGGAGGAAGGAGGCTGAGTCGTATCTTATGAGCTTCTTCCAGAAGAAAGGGGTGTGGTGCTGATGGGTTGGATTGGGTTGGTCTCTGTTCTGGTCTGAGTTGAATTGGATATGTGGTTGGATAGTGAGGGTCATGCTGGGCTGAGTGAGTGTCTGCGCTGTTTAGGGCTGCATGGGCAGTGGAGGACATGAGGTCATGCCTCATTTGTCATCCCATTGCGGCTTGCTGATCACACAGTGATGTCTTTGTAATCTCCTTGCAACCCTCTTCACCTTGCTGCAATCATCATTTTCGTGCAATCGTTTGTGGCAAAGGCAGAGGTAGGAGCGATAGGGATGAGGTATCATTTGCTCCGTTGGTGTTACCACATCTGTTACAAGCTTATGCGTCGTGCCACAAGCTAAATGATCTTGCTGCGAATTTCATCATGCCTACCTTCTCATGTGCCAGGATGAGAAACCAGAAGAAGCAAAGGCAGAGGCGGAGAGGATCGCAGCGGCACGATACGCACAGAAGAAGGCCGAAGCAGAGGACGCGGCAAAGGAGGAGGAAGAGGAGCAGGGCGTGCTCGCCACTATCAGCAACTACTTCAGCTCCAGCTAGGAAGTTGACCCTTTGGATAGATGAGGGGCAGAGCGCAGGTAAAGCAGGCAAGGAGGAAGAGGAGCAGGGCGTGCTCGCCACTATCAGCAACTACTTCAGCTCCAGCTAGAGAGTTGACCTGTGGATAGATTAGCAGTCGTCATAAGTAAAGCAAGCAAGCAAGGAGGAAGAGGAAGAGGGAGTGCTTGCCATTGCCACCATATGCAACCTTCTAAGCTCCAGCTAGAGTGTAGTTGGAGCCCTCCTAAAAAAGCGACTCAACTCTTGCCACCATTAGCAACTAGTGGGTATTTTAGATATAGCTAGTGAGTGACCTTTGACTTGAGTTGCAGTAAGCAGAGTGTACAGGGAAGGAAAAGGGCAGGATAGAGTCCGTGCCACCATCAACAACTAGGGCGATTCAGCCCCAGCTATAGGGATCAACCAGGCAACTACTTTAGTTGGGTAGGGCAGGCTCGAGTGGAGCACTTCTTGCAAGCAAGGAGGAAGAGAAGAAGGGCGTCCTTGTCACCAAGTGCAGCTACGGTAACTTGGAAACATGGTGTACAAGTGATCTAGAAGCCTAGTCAATCCACTTCCGAATGTCAACAAGTGGTTGATACGGTAAGGCAAGTGGGGTAAAGTACCTTTGCATCATAACCATCACACACTTGCAAGAATGTCAACCACAACTTATTCCAGTCATTTACGGTGGTAGGTACCTTTGTCAGCATTGATTGGCACAGAAACACACTCGGTTGCAGCACAGCAGCATCCATACACACAACAGCCTTCCATTTCAGACAGGCAGGCAGCCATATTGACATGCCCGTACAATACAAATGAAACGCTCTGAACCACCAAGTATCTCTTCCACCCACCCCCCTACACACACACTGTTGCAGCACACACATAAGCACAGGCAGGCATGCACTGTATGGGCACCTGACACATCACCTGGACCAATGCGAGCCGCAGACAGACACAGCACCACTCTCCACCACCTTTCACCATTCCCGTTTTAGCACTCGACCTGCTACTGCCTGCAGCAGCTTTCTTTGCCTTCTTCCCACTGGCCACCTTCACAGCGCTGGAGGGAGTGGCTGTGTGGGCAGCAGACACATCCCCCTCCTTCACCTTGCGCTTCTTCTTCTTCCCTCCTGCATCCCTGCCGCTGCTGGGTGCTGGCATGGGCTAGTTAGCTGCTGCCTGCAGCAGCTTTCTTCGCCTTCTTCCCACCGGCCACCTTCACAGCGCTGGGGGGAGTGGCTGTGGCTGTGTGGGCAGCAGACACATCCCCCTCCTTCACCTTCCGCTTCTTCTTCTTCCCTCCTGCATCCCCACCGATGCTGGGTGCTGGGGATGCCTCGGGTGCTGCTGAAACAGTGGTGCCAGGTGCGACTGGTGCCCTGGGCTCTGCTAATACCATTGCTCCTAGTGCTCCTGCTTGGTCTGCTTTATGTTTCTTCTTCTTCTTCCCGCCTGCATCCCCGCTGGGTGTTGGGGATGCCTCGGGGGTTACAGTGGCAGTGGTGCCAGTGGGGACTGGTGTCTTGGGCTCTGCTAGTACTATTGTTCCTGCTCCTGCTGTTGTTGCTGCTTCTGCTTCTGCTTCTGCTGCTGCTGCTGCTGCTTGGTCGGCTTTACGTTTCTTCCTTGGTGTGGTGGCGGGGAGAGTGCTGCTGGGAAGAAGGGGATAATAGAGGTTGGAGTGGGTATCGGAAGGCGGGGAACGGGAGGGGGGGAGGAAAGAAGTGGGGGGAGGAAAGAGGAAAGGCAAGTGGGCAAGGGATGAGAAGGTGAAATGGACTAACAAACGGAGACAAAACACGAGGAGCAAGAAAATGTGGTCAATGCATGGTGCATTATGCATGACACATGGTGTGCATGGTGTATGGTGCAAGGTGCATGGTGTATGGTGCATGGTGCATGGTGTATGGTGCATGGAGCATGGAGCATAAGGCATGGTGAATGGTGCATAGGGCATGGTGTATGGTACATAGAGCATGGTGTATGGTGCATAAGGCATGGTGCATGGAGCATGGTGCATGGTGCATGGTGCATGGTGCATGGTGCATGATGCATGGAGCATGGTGCATGGAGCATGGTGCATGGTGCATGGTGCATGGTGCATGATGCATGATGCATGGAGCATGGTGCATGGGCACAGTCCATGGATGGTACAGGAAACATGTTAACGAGTACAGCAGAGACCGCAAAGGAGGCTAAAGAAGTGGAAAAAAGAGAGGATGAGGGGAGGAAGGAGCACGGCGCATGACACATGGCACATCACACATGACACACACATGACACATTACACATGACACATGACACATGGCACATGGCACATGACACATGGCACATCACATGGCACATCACACATGGCACATCACACGTGGCACATCACACATGGCACATGGCACATCACACATGGCACATGGCACATGGCACATGTCACACGGCACAGAACATGGCAAAGAAGGACGAAGCATTGAAGGAAGCATGCACCTCTGCTGGTTCCACAACTGCAGCTCCTGCTCTCCCTGCCGCTGCTGCTGCAACGGCATATCATGACCATGAGTTTGCAGGGAGTTTTTGAGAAATCTAAAAAACTCCATGACCATGAGTTTTAAGGCGCCTTGCACACAAAGCATTGAAGGAAGCATGCACCTCTGCGGTTCCACAACTGCAGCTCCTGCTCTTCCTGCCGCTGCTGCTGCAACGGCATATCATGACCATCCATGAGTTTTAAGGCGCCTCAGAACTCGCCGTGCACACAAAGCATTGAAGGAAGCACGTACCTCTGCGGTTCCACAACTGCCAACTGCAGTTGCTGCTGCTGCTGCTGCTGCTGCTCCTGCTGCTTATTGTGCCCATGCTCATGCTCATGCTCATGCTCATGCTCATGCCCATGCCCATGCCCGTGCCCATGCCCATTTCCATGCCCATGCCCGTGCCCGTGCCCATGCCCATGCGCGTGTCTGCCCGTGTGGTGGTGTCTGCTTCTCCTCGGTTCCTTGCAGTTTTCTGCCAGCCACTCCACACACCCCGTATCTAGATCATCTAGCGACCCTCTGATGGACATCAACGTGCCGTCCCCTGTGGCACTGGGGATGAGAACGAGGGCAGCAGGGAGGGCGGATGAAAGCAGGTCGATTCAATGAGCCCTGTGCTGTCACCCACTCACTCCACGCACCCCGTATCTGGATGGTCCAGTCCAGCGACCCTCTGATGGACATCAACGTGCCGTCCCCTGTGGCACTGGGGATGAGAATGGGAATGGGAATGGCAATGGGAATGGGGATGGGGGCGGAAGGGAGGGGATGAGAGAGGGTCGATTGAGTGAGCCCTGCGCTGCCAGCCACTCCACACAACCCTGTATCTGGATGGTCTAGCGGCCCAGCTGCGTGCCGTGTGCTGCCACTCACTCCACGCACCCCGTATCTGGGTGGCTCAGCGACCCTCTGATGGACATCAGCGTGCCGTCCCCGGTGGCACTGGGGATGAGAATGGGGGCAGCAGGGGGGGCGAGGCGAATGAGAGAGGGTTGGTTGAGTGAGCGCTGTGCTGCCACCTGCACTTGCATCCATGAGCCATCGGAAATACGGTGGCGGGTGTCTATTAAATTAATTCTCAAGAACCAACTAGTCCCCCATCCTGCATTGCACCCAGCCCTCTCAGATAACGACATGACCACTTTTGAGGCGCCTCAAAAGTCCTCTCAGACGACATGACCACTTTTGAGGCGCCTCAAAACTCCTCTCAGACGACATGACCGCTTTTGAGGCGCCTCGAAAGTCCTCTCAGATAACGACATGACCGCTTTTGAGGCGCCTCAAAAGTCCTCTCAGATAACGACATGACCATCTGCACTGCACTCGATGTTGGGTTGAGGCGTTTCATCTCAAGAAGGCGAAGCGAAGCTACTCCTGAGTGCACAAAGAATAAAACTCACCTGTCCACTTGCACTCGAATGCGAGAGCCAACGAAAATGCGGTGGGAGGGGTCCCCTTTGTGCTGCCAGTGCTGCTGCTGGCCGTCCTCGAGTCGACTCAGACTCACCTTGCTACTTGCACTCGGATTCGGGACCCAACGGAAATGCGGTGGGAGCGGTCCTCTTTGTGCTGCCAGTGCTGCATGCTGCATTGCATGCACCTGGCCCTCTTACCTGGCTGGCGCTCGCACCTGGCCCTCTTACCTGGCGCTCGCACCTGGCCCTCTTACCTGGCGCTCGCACCTGGCCCTCTTACCTGGCGCTCGCACCTGGCCCTCTTATGTGGCCCTCTTACCTGGCTGGCGCTCTCACCTGTCCACTTGCACTCGAATGCGAGAGCCAACAAAAATGCGGTGGGAGGGGTCCTCTTTGTGCTGCCAGTGCTGCTGCTGGCCGTGGTTGTCGCTGTCGTCGGCGGCGGCCTTGGAGGGATGAGATGAGATGAGATGAGATGAGATGAGATGAGATGAGATGAGATGAGATGAGATGAGAGAGAGCACGAAATGGGAGGAGAGGAAGTGAAAAAAGCTGGGGAATAAGACGAGATGGGCGGAGGAAGGGGAAAACGGTGCACTGCATGCACTGCACTGCATTGCATTGCACTCACACACACACCTGCCTGCACCTGGCGCCGCTGCACCTGGCGCCGCTGTACCCGACCAGTTTATGGGCTCATGGCAGCACATGCTTGCGCATGTGCACACATCAAAGGTGCACGCACGCGCGTGCACCCACCCACCCACCCACCCACCCGCACATGGCGCCAGCAGCGCACGAAACTGGCCAGGGACAGTGGCATTGAATACGCCCATCAAGAGTGCACATGACTGCACTGCACTGCACTGCATGGGCAAGGGTGCACTGCCCCCGACCCACCAACCTCCACGTGCTGCCATGCGCGCATTAACTGGTCGGGTACAGCGGCATTGAAGAGGGACAACATGAGCAGAGCAGACACCTAATACTGCACTGCACTGCAGCGCATTAACTCACAACATGAGTAGAGCAACTGCACTGCACTGCACTGCAGCACATTAACTCACAACATGAGTAGAGCAGCTGCACTGCACTGCAGCAGCATTGAAGACGGACAACAGGAGCAGAGCAGACACCTAATACTGCACTGCACTGCACTGCAGCGCATCAACTCACCTCCACACGCTGCTGCCACGAGCGCATGCACTGCTCGGGTACAGCGGCTTTGAAGACAGACATGTGTACATACCATATTCATATGTATGTATGTATGTATGTATGTATGTATGTATGTATGTATGTATGTATGTATGTATGTATGTATGTATGTATGTATGTATGTATGTATGTATGTATGTATGTATGTATGTATGTATGTATGCAAGTGTGCCCGTGTGCACTGCACCCACGCACCTCCACGTGGTACCAGGAGCGCATGAATGAATGAACCCATCGGCGGCGGAGGCGTCAAACATACAGGCATACAGACAAGTCAAACATGCATGTGTATACACCAGCAAGAATGCACTGCACCCACGCACCTCCACGTGGTACCAGGAGCGCATGAACAGATGGGAGACAGAGGCGTTGACGACAGACAGACAGACATGCAGATGAACATGCAGATGAACATGCAGATGAACATGCAGATGAACATGCAGATGAACATGCAGATGAACATGCAGATGAACATGCAGATGAACATGCAGATGAACATGCAGATGAACATGCAGATTAACATGCAGATGAACATGCGGATGAACATGCAGATGAGCATGCATTCTCATGCACACACCAAGACAAGCGTGCACTGCACTGCACCCACCTCCTCCACGTGTTTCCAGGAGCGCATAAACTGATCGGAGACAGAGGCGTTGACGACAGACAGACAGACAGATGAGCATGCATTCTCATGCACACACCAAGACAAGCGTGCAGTGCACCCACCTCCTCCTCCACGTGTTTCCAGGAGCGCATAAACTGGTCGGGCACAGCGGCGTTGAATACGCCCAGCACGAGAAGACCGATGAAATCCGCCCCCACATTGTTCACCACTCCCTCTGCACGGAGGGGAGGGGAGGGCAAGGAGGGTGGAGGAGGAGGGGAGTGAGCAGAGCAGCACGAGCAGACCGATGAAATCCGCCCCCACATTGTTCACCACGCCCTCTGAGAGTGCGAGGGGCAGGGGGGGAGAGAGAGGTGGGACAGGTAAGGGGAGGAGCACAGGGGCAGCAGTGCCGTGCCGAGCAGAACAGCACCATGCCACGGGCAGACCAGTGAAGTCCGCCCCCACATTGTTCACCACGCCCTCTGAGAGTGCGAGGGGCAGGGGGGGAGAGAGAGGTGGGGCAGGTAAGGGGAGGAGCACGGGGGCAGCAGTGCCGAGCAGAACAGCACCATGCCACGGGCAGACCAGTGAAGTCCGCCCCCACATTGTTCACCACGCCCTCTGAGAGTGCAAGGCGAAGGATAGGGAGTGGTAGGTAGGGGTGAGTAGGGGGAAGCGGCGCGGAAGAAACAGTAGTGAGCAGGGCTGCACAAGCAGAGCGAAATACGCCCCCACATTGTTCACCATGCCCTATCTCTGGCCGGGTGTGCGGAGGGCAGTGATGGGAGGGCAGTGATGGGCGGGCAGTGATGGGAGGGAGGGGGGGGGAGGGGAGAGGAGGGGCATGGGAGCAGAGGTAGTGAGCAGATCAGCACACATTGTTCACCACACCCTTTGCGGAAAAGGGAGGGAGGGGTAGGGGAGGGGAGGGGAGGGGAGGGGAGGGGAGGGGAGGGGAGGGGAGGGGAGGGGAGGGGAGGGGAGGGGAGGGGAGGGGAGGGGAGGGGAGGGGAGGGGAGGGGAGGGGAGGGGAGGGGAGGGGAGGGGAGGGGAGGGGAGGGGAGGGGAGGGGAGGGGAGAGGGGGGGAGGGGAGGGGAGGGGAGGGGAGGGGAGAGGAGGGGAAAAGAGAGGTGGGACAGGTAGGGGCAAGGGACACGGGAGCAACAGGGCTGAGCAGAGCAGCGCGAGCAGAGTGATGACGTTGTTCACCACTCCCTCTGGAAGGAGAGGGGGGAGGAGTAGGGAGGAGTAGGGAGGAGTAGGGAGGAGTAGGGAGGAGTAGGGAGGAGTAGGGAGGAGTAGGGAGGGGTAGGGAGTGGGGCGAGGCACGGAGGCAACAGTAGTGAGCAAAGAAACACGAGCACAGGGGAGGGGAGGGGAGGGGAGGAAAAAGGAGGCGGGGCAGGTAAGGAGAGGATTCACCATCCCCTCCTCACTCCTCAATGCTTATTCCCCACTCCCCACTCTTCACTCCCCACTCTTCACTCCCCACTCTTCACTCCCCACTCCCCACTCTTCACTCCTCCTCACTCCTGACTCCTCATTCCTCACCCCTCCCTCCTCCCTCCTCACCCCTCCCTCCTCACTCCTCACTCCTCCCTCCTCACTTATCACTCCTCCCCCCTCCTCACTCCTCCCTCCTCCCTCCTCACTCCCCACTCCCGACTCAAGACGCCCCTGGCCTGGACCCGGGCTGTCTCACCAAGAAAGGCTCCTGGTCGCGGCGCGAAGAGGAGCAGGCGAGCGGAGAGGCTGACGTGGAGGTAGGGGTTGAGTCCGGTTAGAATGGCTGCTGTGCGGCCGAATAGGAGCACGTTGGAGTAGGCCAACACGATGCCGCCGTGCTGCTCGCTGTACCTGACGGGGGGGGAAGGGGAAGGGGAAGGAGATGGTGCAGGGGGGTTCACAGCAGGTGGGTAGAGTAGAGAGGCATTGGTTCCTGTCAGAAGAACGCAAAATGCTGACTCGGGGCTCCACGCACGCAGCACACGTTGGAGTAGGCCAGCACGATGCCGCCGTGCTGCTCGCTGTACCTGACGGGGTGGGAAGGGGAGCGGGGAAGAGAACATGTGAGTAGGGAGGCCTGATGGGGAGGGAGGGGAAGGGCAGGCCGCAGGGGGGATCATAGCATGCGAGTGGGGTGCTGGTTTCCGTCGGACGTAGAGTCTGCTCTTGAGTCGACTCAAAAGAAGCCAGATGCTGACTCGAGGCTCCACGCAGCACGTTGGAGAAGGCCAGGCCAGCACGATGCCACCGTGCTGCTCATTGACACGTTGGAGAAGCACGATGCCACCGTGCTGCTCATTGACACGTTGGAGAAGCACGATGCCACCGTGCTGCTCATTGTACCTGACGGGGAGGGAAGGGGAGGCACAGCAAGCGAGTGGGGAGTTGGTTCCCGTCAGTCAGACGTAGGGAAGGGTACGCAGAATGGTGACTCACGTCGCAGCACGTTGGGGTAGGCCAGGCCAGCGCGATGCCGCAGTGCTGCTGGCAGTACCTGATGGGGAGAGAAGGGCGCGAGGGGGATCATAGCAAGCGAGTAGGGTAGGGAGCGGTTGGTTCCGGTCAGAAGAACGCAGAATGCCGCCGCCGTGCTGCTCGACGCTCCATGCAGCACCTTGGAGTAGGCCAGCACCACCCCCCTCTCCCCCTCTCCCCCTCTCCCCCTCTCCCCCCTCTCCCCCTCTCCCTCTCTCCCCCTCTCCCCCTCTCCCCCTCTCCCCCTCTCCCCCTCTCCCCCTCTCCGTCTCTCCCCCCTGCTGCTCAGCACGTAGCTGTTACGGAGCGGACGAGGGTCACGCGCAGCAGATGCGACGCGACGCAAGCGAACGCGGGCGATTCTGAAGGAATCAGACTACTCGGAGATTTCCCAAAAGGCTCGCAGCAGATGCGATGTGAACCAGCGCGAGTGCACGCGAAAAAAACCCTAACTGCCAAACAAGGAGAATGGCGGGACACACGAAGCGAGGAGCTTCAAGAGACCAACGTGATATTCAGCGACTCACGTCAGGAGCGACTGCAGCATTACCGCATGAGTGAGTTATTGAGCTGCTAACTCGACTATAACTACCACCGGTACATTCCAGGACCTCCAGCCATGAGTGTTAGTGGAATCACCGCATGAGTGAGTTGTTGAGCTGCTCCTTGACTCCTGCTACTACATTCCCGGACCGCGACGGGTGAATATCCAGGGTTAATCGCGTCTCGACCTCTCGGAGCGACGTGCGGTCCACCGCTGCTCCTCGCAAGCCCATCGTCTTAGGGATTTTCCGCGTTACTAGAGCCATTACGGTCGCTATGCACTGTATCGGGGAAGGCTTACAACACGCTCGCCATACGCTGTAATGGCTGCCTTTACAGCGTGCTCTTCCCGCGTATCGCGTTGGCGCGCTTCCTTCGCGTTGGGTTAGGGAACCTGCATAATCCCGCTATTACCCCAAAACTCTCGGGGTTTGGGAGTTTGGGTTCATTCGTTACGAGTGCACGGATCGCGATTCGCGAAGCAACAAGTTACACTCAACCCCCTTCTTCTACATGGGTATAATATGCTTATAGTCCACTCGGTAGTGTTTGGTAGCGCTACTGAGCGCTACCGGGTGCTAGACGACGCTATATGGTGCGAAGAGTCACTCTACAACGGTGGGAGCTGAACTACGGATGAAGACACTAGTGGTGTGAGTGATCGTAGCTTTGCTTGTGTTCTCACTACCCACGTGTTCATAGAGCAATCTGACAAGAATTTCACTAGCAAAACGAGAATAGAGAATGATAGCTAATGCAATGGCAAAATTAACTACATATGGGGACCTAGCAGCGTAGCTGTCAAACTTATATGCTGTATCTTGTGTAGGCTATAGTGGGGTAGCCCATATGGGGTACAACCCAATTAGGGTTAGTACTTGTACCCATCCTGCTGTTAGTCAATTCATTCTCGTTCTTTCTCTTGACATGGTTTCAGAGCAGGTCCTAGCCATACTCGGGTTTTCTTAGGGCCCACCGAGTAGCGCTACCCCACCCGTCGCGCTGCTGTGACCGCGCCGCCCTGCCCTGCCCTGCCCTACGTCGCGCTGCCTGCGCACGTCCTGCCCTGCCCGCGCGCCGCCCAGTGCAGCGCGTTCTGCTTTGCCCGCGCGCCGCCCGCTGCAGCGCGCCATGTTTGCCCGCGCGCCGTCGCGCCGCCTGCCGCAGCGCGCCCTGCCCTGCCCGCGCGCCGCGCCGCCGTGCGCCCTGCCCTGCCCGCGCGCCGCGATGCCGCGTGCCCTGCCATGCCCGCGCGCCGCGCCGCCGAGCGCCCTGCCCTGCCCGCGCGCCGCGCCACCGCGCGCTCTGCCCTGCCCGCGCGCCGCGCCGCCGCGCGCCCTGCCCTGCCCGCGCGCCGCGCCGCCGCGCGCCCTGCCCTGCCCGCGCGCCGCGCCGCCGCGCGCCCTGCCCTGCCCGCGCGCCGCGCCGCCGCGCCGTCCTGCCTTGCCCGCGTGCCGCGCCGCCGCGCGCCTTGCCCTGCCGCGCGCCCTGCCCTGCCGTGCGCCACTTGCTGCTACGTCGCCCTGCGCCGCCCTGCCTTGCCTTGCCTGCGCGCTGCCCTGCTGCTAGCGCGCTCGCCTGCCTAGCCCTGCCTGCGTGCTGCTCTGCTGCTAGCGCGCCCGACCGCTCTGCCCGCTATGGCCGCGCTCAGTGTCTTCACGTTCGATCTGGAGGGCCGCCCGATAGAGTTCGATGTGTGGCTCGACGACTTACAGCTGTTCTTACTAAGCGATTCCAAGGACGGAGTTTCACTGTTTGACCTCACGTCTGGCGCCTCTCTCGCCCCTGCCGGCACAGCTGACAGTACGACTCGCTCATAGTGGCTTACTCGTGACGCTGCTGCTCGCCTAGCCGTTCGCAACCACCTGCCGTAAGCCGACACGCTCACTTCGGACAGCATAATACTGCTAGAGCACTGTACGACGCTGTAGTCGCTCGTTACTCCTCCCCGGCCACTGCTGCTCTAGGCCGTCTTCTCCTGCCCTACCTGTTTCCAGAGCTGTCCGCCTTTACCACAGTAGCCGACCTCGTCACTCACCTTCGTACTAGTGACACTCGCTACCGCACTGCGCTTCCCGCCGAGTTTCTCACCAAGAACCCTCCTCCCATGTATATCACTCTCTACTTCATAGTCACCCGCCTCCCTGACTCTCTTAGCGCTGTCAGGGACCTCCTTCTAGCCCTTGACCCCACCGACCTCAGTGTCGACCTGCTCGAGAAGCACCTCCTAGCAGCTGAGACTAGCATAGTCACTGTAGGCGCTTCTCGTGGCACTCCTCGCACTCCCTTCTTTGAGGGGTGTTCGCCCTCCCCCCTGGTCCCCTCCGTCGCCTCTACTGCAGCTGTTGACTACCTTCGTGCTGAGGAGGTAGGAGCTGCGTCTGCCCCTAGTGGGAGGCGCCGCAGCGGCAGGGACAGGGGAGGCAGGGGCGGTGGGGGTGGCAGAGGTGGAGGCGGTGGTGGGGGCGGTGGAGGCGGTGGAGGGGGCGGCGGTGGCGGAGGTAGTGGTGGTGGGGGTGGAGGTGGAGGTGGCGGCAGTGGTGGCGGCAGTGGGAGTGGTGGAGGCGGCAGTGGTGGCGGCAGTGGGAGTGGAGGCGGCGGCAGTGGTGGTGGCCGGGGTGGTACCAGCCAGAGGGGAGGCCTTGGAGGTGGTCAGAGGCAGCAGCAGCAGCGTCAGCCCCTTTCGTCTCAGGAGCTCCGTGAGTGGTTTGCTCAGCCTGGGGCGGCTGGGGGTAGTGGTCGCTGCCCGTATGTCATTCGCACATGTGACCGCTCTGGTCAGATATGCGGGCAGCCTCACACACAACACTGCTGCTTCTCCCGTCTTACCGACGCCTTTCGCGCAGAGTTTCCCGACGCGGCTGAGCTCCCCCACTGGGCAGAGCTGCTTAGGCAGGGTGTGGATATCTTTGCTCTTGACTATGATGCTATCCTTACTGCCATGTATGCATTGAGTGTTAGTGCTGAGGGTGACTGTTGCCTGTGTATGCCGCCAGACCCAGGTATAGAGGTAGCTGCTCTAGGTGCTGGTGAGTCTGCTGCTCTAGGTGCTAGTGAGTCTGCTCTCTCTGGTACCGCGCCTGCTGAGGCCTTGCACACCTTCACGCTTGACTCAGGTGCTTCCCGCTGTTTCTTTCGTGACAGTACCGCACTCACACCACTCCCAGCACCTGTTGCTGTCTCTCTGGCTGACCCCTCTGGGGGCCCAGTCCTTGCTCGTTCCTCCACTGTTCTCCCGTGTCCGGCGGTTCCTTCTGGCTCACTGTCAGGTCTTCACCTTCCCTCGTTCTCTACGAACTTGGTGAGCAACGCCGTCATTCAGGATGTATGGGTTGACACCTTTACTCCAGGGGGACAGCGTGTGGCGATCTGTACGTGCTCCCGGACTGGCCGGCACCTGGCCACGTTCACCCGTGCGCCTGGCTCGAGTCTGTACACACTGACTACTGTGTCCCCTCAGGTAGCTGCGTCTGCATCTGCGTCAGGTCAGCTAGCGGCCCCCTGCTCGTGTCGCGCTCTGTCGCACTAGACCCTCCTTTGGCACCACCGTCTTGGTCACCCCTCAGTGCAGCGCCTCCGTGGCATGCACTCTCGTCTCCTTGTCTCTGGTCTTCCCAGGACTCTGCCTCCCCTCCCACCCTCGCCTGCCCCTCCCTGCCTTCCCTGTGTCGAGAGGCGGCAGCGCGCCGCTCCTCACTCCTCCTCGTTTCCCCCGACGACTGCTCCCCTGCAGACTCTCCACATGGACGTGTGGGGCCCAGCCCGCGTCCGTGGACAGGGCCGCGAGCGCTACTTTTTGCTGGTTGTTGACGACTACACGCGTTACACCACGGTCTTCCCCTTGCGCAGCAAGGGGGAGGTCCCTGATGTCCTGATCCCTTGGATCCGCGCTGTCCGTCTCCAGCTCCGCGAGCGGTTCGAGATGGACCTTCCAGTCCTGCGTCTGCACTCTGACAGAGGTGGTGAGTTTGTCTCCGACCTTCTGCGGGACTTTTGTCGTGGGGAGGGCATTCGCCAGACGTTCACGCTTCCGGCCTCTCCGCAGCAGAATGGGGTTGCTGAGCGCCGTATTGGCTTAGTCATGGAGGTCGCTCATACCTCCATGATCCATGCGGCTGCCCCCCATTTTCTGTGGCCGTTTGCGGTCCGGTACGCCGCGCATCAGCTCAACCTCTGGCCCCGTGTCTCCTTGCCGGAGACCTCGCCGACACTGCGTTGGACGGGAGAGGTTGGCGATGCGTCGGTGTTCCGGGTCTGGGAATCTCGTGCCTTTGTCCGCGATACGTCCGCGGACAAGCTCTCCGCCCGCACCATTCCCTGCGTCTTCCTTGGTTTCCCCCCTGACGCGCCTGGCTGGCAGTTTTACCACCCCACCTCGCGCCGTGTCCTGCCCTCTCAGGACGTCACGTTCGACGAGTCGGTTCCCTTTTACCGTCTCTTCCCCTACCGCACTGCCCCACTCCCCCCCCCGCCGCTCTTCCTTGCACCAGGTCCTCCTCCGGTAGACCCCCTCCCGCCTCAGGGTCCTGCTCCCTCAGGTGTGTCTCAGGTAGACGCTGCCGAACCTGTCGAGGTCGCTGTCGACTCAGGTGCTGCTGGGGGTGGTGCTGCTGGGGGTGCTGAGCCTGCGCGTGCGGAGCCTGGGGGTGCTGAGCCTGAGCGTGCGGAGCCTGGGGGTGCTGAGCCTGAGCGTGCGGAGCCTGGGGGTGCTGAGCCTGAGGTTGCTGAGTTTGGGGGTGCTGAGCCTGGGGGTGCTGAGACTGGGGGTGCTGAGCCTGGGGGTGCTGAGTCTGCTGGAGGTCCTACAGGTGCCTCGTCACGGCGAGAGCCTCTCTCTCCACCGCAGCTGCGCGAGTGGTTTGCTCGGCGTTGGAGCCTTCGGAGGGGAGCTGCTGGAGCTGGGGGGTCTGCCACTGGAGGCCCTGGAGCTGGAGGTACTGGAGCTGCTGGAGCTGGAGGTGCTGCCGGCGTCGGCGCTGGAGCTACTGGAGTTGCTGGAGCCACTGGTCCCGGAGGTGCTCGTACTGGAGGTACTGGAGCTGCTGGAGCTGGTGGTACTGCGGGCGTGGGAGTCGGAGGTGCTGGAGCTGCTGGTCCTGGAGGTGCTGGAGGTGCTAGAGTCGCTGGTCCTGGAGGTGCTCGTACTGGAGGTACTGGAGCTGCTGGAGCTGGTGGTGCTGCAGGAGTTGGAGCAGGAGGTACTGGAGCTGCTGGAGCTGGAGGTGGTGCTGGAGCTGGAGCTGCTGGAGGTGCTGCAGGCGTTGGA